GGACACTGAAACTGACACTGAGTGGACACTGAAACTGACACTGAGTGGACACTGAAACTGACACTGAGTGGACACTGAAACTGACACTGAGTGGACACTGAAACTGACAAACAGGCACTGCTGGCAGGCATTCGCACCCACACACATGCACACCCACACACACACGCACACCCACATCCACACACACCTTAGACCTTAGACATGCCCATCGCGGGAGCGATGATAGCGAACAGCTATGTTAGACATAGCAACTTGTGCTGGGATTACACCACACCCACCCACCCACCCACACACACACACACACACACACACACACACCTCAGACCTCAGACCTGCCCATCGCGGAAGCGATGATAGCGAACAGCTATGTTAGACATAGCAACACACACACACACACACACACACACACACACACACACACACACACACACACACCATGACACACACACACACACCATGACACACACACACACACACACCATGACACACACACACGTACACACACACACACACACACACACACACACACACACACACACTCCATTGGCCATTTGACGCCCATCACCGGAGGCGATGATGACGATGCCACAGCAGGAGCCATAGCAACTTGTGCTGGGATTGCACCATTCAACAGCTTGCAAGTCTGAAGAATTGACCGCCAAACACACACACACACACACACATAAACACACCATACACACGCATTCATGCACACACACACGCACACACACATACACACACACACACGCACACACACACCTCAGACCTCAGACCTGCCCATCGCGGAAGCGATGATAACGAACAGCTATGTTAGACATAGCAACTTATGCTGGGATTACACCATTCAACAGTTTGCAAGGCTACATGTACATACACGCACACACACGTACAGCTAGAGGGAGAGAGGATGTGAAAGAAAGAGAGAAAGAATGGACAGATACTGAGATAGGCACGCGCACATGGTACGTACATGTACATGTAGTGACGTTTGCGATAATTATTTTATAAGATAGTTGATGGGTTTCCGCACTGCATGCATTGGAACTAACGCTTTTCCCGCCGACTGGACACTTGACTGACTCACTACTGCCATCCAGAGCTGAGAGCACACAAGAAGTCCATCGAACCAGTTTGCCGAGTCGAAGGTTAGATCAGGGAGTAGTAGGGTATTTTACTGCGATCAAGTACTCCCTGATCAAATCTTCGACTCGGCAAACCTGCAAGAACGCACCACTCCCTGCTCAAGACGCAGTGTTTCGGGCAATTCACCCCTCATCAGTAGAGGAGACATATCGATCGCATGCTCTGGATGGCAGTCATGGGGTCAGTCAAGTGAGAAGTCAAGTCGGCGGGGAAAAGCGCGAGCTCCAGTGTGACGAGCAATCAATTTCTCCATGGTATTTTTTTGTAACCTGGCCCCGGCCTTATGCTAGGGAATGAGAACTATTAGTATTACTTTGAGAAACAAGGTACGTACAACATGTAGTTAGTTTCAGGTTCGCGTCCTGGGCCTGGCACTGGCAGGGTTTACCACTACGTCATGTTCATGGCATGCATGCGATCATGTATTAGGTACAGTATAGTGGAGGATAGAACGACAGATTGAGTTTAGCGACAGTTGCCCAAGTTGTTTAGTAAGTCCTTTTTGAAGATCGGCTTTAGTGACAGATCGAATGTAGTGACATTTTGTTCTCTCCCGAAGGATTGTTGTTGTTGTTGTTTGTTTTACTTCGCAGATTCTAACGGGCAAGTTGCCCAATAACAAGAAAGCGAAGGCAAAGAAAATAATAATACTAATAAAAGAAATAACCGGGGGCAGCAGAAAATAAATAATAGCAGTAAGAACTCAGATGGTGAGCCAAGGATCAAATTTCCATGTTACAAATAATCGCTTTAAAAGTAAAAAGAAAAGAGCGGGTGGTACAGCAGTCTTCCTATTCTGAATTCCCTGAACGAAGCAGAGACATTAGCTGGGTACATGTCACTATTACACAGTAGCAAGAGAGCTACCTCGGTCGACATCAGTGTACGTGGACTACGAGTGGATGCGACATACGAGTGGATGCGACAGCAACAGTGACTGGAATAATGGGTGATACGTTTCATGGAGCGAGCGTATGTGGGATGACTGACATCTTGAACACACTACGTTGGGGGATGGTGCGGATGTCGCTGGGTAGTGCGTTTCACAGCTTGGGAGCGGCAACAGAGAACCTAGCCTGACCAGCGCGGCTTGCGGCGGGTGGTACTTGCGCTCCGATGTCCTTCTGCAAGCGGGTACGCCGATCTGGTGACCTTGAAATCAGTCCACAGAGCCGGTTCCCCGCAATGCCGTGGATGCATCGCCAGGTGAGCAATAGCGCCTTTTGCTTGTGCAGCTCTGAGATTCGGTAGAGTTCCACCCGTTGGAGCAGAGCTTGAGCAGAGTCGTATGGCCGAGCGCCAAAAACTGCGCGAACCGCTTTGTTCTCCAGCGTCTGGAGATCCGTTGCTTGCTGGGCAGTTAGACAGAACACGAAACAACTTGATGCGTAGGTCAGATCCGGCATCACCACGGACTTCAAGTAGGTGACTCGGGCCGCCAGGCTCAAGCATCTCCGAGTCCGCCAGAGGGCACCTACTTTGCGGGACACCTTTGCTGTAATGGCTTTCAGGTGTTGCTGAAAGTTCAGCCCCTCGTCAATGATGACGCCAAGGTACTTCGCGCTGGTGACTGTCGGCAGAGCTTGGCTGCGACAGAGGACTGTGACCCGGGGTCCAGCGTCTCTACCAGGAAGGATTGTGAGAACTTGACTCTTCTTCTCATTCAGAATCAGTCCTCGCTCTTCCAGCCATGCAGCCAAGGAGGAGACTGCGGTGGAGAGCGTACTGGCAACAGCCTGAGTCGTGTCAGCGCTACAATATACTGCGACGTCATCGGCGAACGTCGTTACCAGTTACATCCAATCTCCACTGTTTTGTCATGAATATTGTTAGACGTGCATGTACATGCACATGTACGTGACACGGGCATGAAGGTATACTTGATCCTTTTCCGGGTTCATTATGACCTGATAACCAGATAAACCGTACTCGGTACTGGCCTGATAGGAGATATATTGTACATGTATTCCGCAGTCGTTACCAAGGTTGCATACATGTACAGTCAACTTCGCTAACAACGACTGCGGATATAACGACAATTCGCGAATAACGACATAATTTTCATGCCCAGAGCAAAGTCCCATCCAACTGTGACACATATAATGAGACTTCAGGTATAACGACACTTCGCGAATAAGGACACTTTTCTGATGCCCCGCCGAGTGTCGTTATAAGCGAAGTTGACTGTATTGGCATATACAGTGCAGTGGTCCTGGATGCTTCTAATCTACAAGGACAGACTCATTTGGCACGCGAGAAGGGCGGGTCCATTACCCTGACCACCGTCCCTATGGCTGAGCAAGGTTTCAGCTTTGATGTGAAGGGGTGATTTTCACGATCATATCCGGCTCCGGTACTGTTGGCCTCTGGACAACCTGCCAGCATCCTGTCCCTGTGGCTCAAGGTTCTCAGTTGACCATGCCCAAATTTGCAAGCTGTCGGGATTCATAAACATGCGACACAATGATCCCACCGACTCCCTCGCGTCGTGCATGAAGGAGCTCCATCATGATGTGGAGGTGGAGCCACCATTGCAGCCCCTAACTGGCGAAACCTTTCACCATCGGTCAGCCAACACTGATCCTGATGCCCGTGCCGACCTGCGGGTGAAGGGATTCTGGACCGATAGCCACAACGCATTCTTTGATACAAGAGTGTTTTATCCCCACGTGTGGAGCTATCGGTCCAAGTCTCTCCCCTCCCTCTACCGAAGGTTTGAAGACGAGAAGAAGCGTGCTTATGGTGAACGTGTCAATGAAGTCGAGCATGACTCATTCACACCGTTAGTCTTCTCCTCCTGTGGTGGAATGGGCTCTGAAGCAGCCGTAGTAGTCAAGAGGCTGGCGCATGGCTTGGCCACCAAACGCAACGCGGGTTGTAGCTTGGCTGCGGTGCTGCTTGGCATTTTCTCTTGCCAGATCTGCCATCCGTTGCGTCCGTGGATCACGCTCTGTTCGCCGTCGTCGCTTCGACCTCGCGGCTGTCGACCTTGTCCCGGATGAGGCGTGTCTGGCTCGACATTAGCCTGTGGGTACAGCCATTTATGACACTAGACTGTATTTACAGCCATTTATCTCCTTTCTTCCTGTTGTTTAATTACTGTCCGGCGTGCGTTTACCGCCATATTGCCAGGTGCGTGTTTACCACCATAATTATGAATAAAGTGTCAGGGGTCAATACTCACAATAGGACAGATCTGCAGACTCATTCGACATGGTAGAAAGCAGTGGAAGACTCGTACTCGTACCCGTAGAACCTTTTTTTGGAGTTGCCAAGCCTCTTGTACGGGCAAAAATACCATCTTGATCAATAATAGAAATGCAACTAAAACCCAAAACAATTTTAAAATGTAAAGAACTCAAAGCAAATGAAAAGAACTCGAAGCAAATGAAAAGAACTCGAAGCAAATGTACACGTACATGTACATGTATGTCCAGACTCCTCCAATCTACATTGTATTACTCACTACTATTAGGGCCCCACTGCCAGTTTACTTTTTAGTATAGGTTGAGTGGATGTACGAGTATCCCCTATGCAGTTTACAAAAATGGTTTGGACGTGCAGGTGCATATATGTATGCACGTCACTCATGTGTCAACTACAAAAGTATATGTATCACAACGCAAGTGTCAGGTTGGTAGTTGCACTTGCAGGTCCGGAGTCAGGGACTTCCCCAACACGCGCACCCAGAAGCTAAAACGAAAGAAGAAACTAAGTTTATGCACATGTGAGTAGGTTTGCAGGTAGAGGATGCGGCTCGCATCGAAACTGCGAAAGTTTCGAGTCACACTTGCACGGCACGGCGATCCCGTCCGAAGACAAGTAGATCTACACACGACTACAGCCAGTGTCTCGGTTTATAATATGCAACTACGTACTTCGACTTACCATGCTTACTGTACTTCAGCAGTTCAGGCGCGATGTTTGAAATCGTTCAACACGCTCGCCACATCGCAAAACAGCAGTAGACTCAGCTTTTCTCCTTCCACGTAGATCTACTATCGTCACCCCGTGCTTTTCCGCAATGCTATGTGGGCCGGCCGGCATAGAAGTACCGGTAGGTGATCTGCAACCCGCCAGGTAGGACCACTGAGGACGGAGCGTCTCTCATTATACTAGTGCCCATGGCCGTCCAGCTTGGAGACATCAGTCGGCCAATCTCTTTGTGTTTCTTGTTGGTGGATTTCGGCCGTTCGGTTGCTTTTAGATTGCCTGGAGCTGCGGTGCTGAAGCTAGCCTGAACTGAAGGTGAAACACAAGCCACCAAGGATCGCTACCACTATCACTTTATCAGCGTTCACACCCCACTCTGAAAGTCACAGCAGGCAGCTTAGTCGGAATAATGGGTAAGACAGAGGAGATGCGTAAATAGTAGAGGAAAAATAGTAGAGGAAATAGGTTGAAGAATTCGATGGGTGCTGGCTTGTTGCGCTATCACTAGTCGTGATGCTATCTTTGCGATCGGATCGGCGAGCATCTATGGCTCTAAAGGGGAAGTTAAGGCAAAAATTAAAATTTCACCAGTTGTAGTCTTCGGGGTGCTGAGTCGAATGGTCTTGGTCCGAGAAAGCTGAGACGCTCCCTTCCTACTTGAATCCCAATCGAACTCGCGCACTTCCACCGAAACTGGGTGACTGCGCCCTACTAGATGGGGATTTGTATGCAAAATGTCACTAAAAGCGCCATTTCGTTCTTATAAAAGCACGGATGACCGCGATTGGCCCATATGTTGTAGTCTTTTGGACGCTGAGTCGACTGGTTTTGGCCCGAAAAGGCTGCGATGCAGCGTTCCTCCTTTATTCCCAATCGAACATGGTTGAACAAGCGGTCACGTGCTCCTGGGTGCCCAAATCACCTGGTCACCACGCCAGCAGGCGACAACTTTCACACCAAGGTTCAACTCGAGTGACAGGACTGCACCCAAAAAAGGTCAAACAGGCTAGTAAGTTGTACCCTGCAGGCACGGTGACCAGATGACTGGCGTACGCAGGAGCACGTGACCGCTTGTTCAACCATGTTCGATTGGGAATAAAAGAGGAACGCTGCATCGCAGCCTTTTCGGACCAAAACCAGTCGACTCAGCGTCCAAAAGACTACAACATATGGGCCAATCGCGGTCATCCGTGCTTTTATAAGAACGAAATGGCGCTTTTAGTGACATTTTGCATACAAATCCCCATCTAGTAGGGCGCAGTCACCCAGTTTCGGTGGAAGTGCGCGAGTTCGATTGGGATTCAAGTAGGAAGGGAGCGTCTCAGCTTCCTCGGACCACGACCATTCGACTCAGCACCCCGAAGACTACAACTGGTGAAATTTTAATTTTTGCCTTAACTTCCCCTTTAACTATAATAGTCTATAGCCGTGTAGGTCTACATGTCGATGTTCGCGTGCATGTTATGGGCTGGGGCGGTTGCCTGACGAAGGTACTGGAATACACGGACTCAGGATCTGTGCATTTCCCTGAAATCGATGGAAAAAGGAACACGGGGAAAGTATTATATCTGCGTCTTTGTAACCGACTTTCCCACGTTACCATGGTTACTTGCTAGCCCGGCCAAGCGGCAACGCCACAGTCAACAGTCTCTAGATCTACTGTTCGTTTTGCCTTTGGCACGGATCTACGCTCGTACAGGGAGTCGACTAGTCGACGCCTATTCGCACGTTTTTTCCATGTATGTGTGTACTCGCAGGGGCAGCGAGAGGTGTTGTAAGCAAATCCGGCCAGTACCCCCCCCCCCCCCCCTCCCCACACACACACAGACACACGTACACACACATCATTGAGCCACCACTTTCCCGGCATGTATTTAGGCACTGGCGGATTATATGCTCGAAAAGGTGGCAGATTATGCTCGAAAAGCAGTGAAATTGGCAGAACCATACAAACCTTATGGCGGGCAATTCCTCGAATTCTGCTCCATTTCTTTATCCACAAACCAAACATGCATGAGACTTACCAGAAAAAGTACCGAATTCTGCCAATTTTTCTGCCGGCAGAATCCGCCGGTGCCTTCACGTACTACTGTCACGTAACGTTTTTAAAAATGTCCTATGGCAGACCTGCACATCAGCTAAGCGAAGTTCCCATCGCTGTCGTCGCCACTTGCACGGATTGGCAAACTCTGGCGAGCAAGAAACTTCAGGCTGGATAAGATGTGGGCAGACCAGATGTCGACGCGTAGTCCGCAAAACTCCGTGTACATGTAAATTATGCATGAGATTGTGCATGATAGGATCTAGGAGGTCATGACCTTCGGGATTTTAGCAGTCATGGTTGGACTAAACTTTGCAATCTAGTCTTTTGGACAACTCCCATTCCAAATATCGATGCCGGTATATGCATTTGCAGTGGGTGTTACTCTAAACAATTAGGAGGCATACAATGTAGTCGACTTACATCTATTGTCATGATGGTAGGAGAGATGGACTGGTTATTCGCCCAGTGACTCTGAGGTTGACATTTTGGACGAGTATGACAACTGCAAAGACCTAGTTGAACTTTGTATTCTGATCAAGTTAACACTGAGGCGACTGTCGTAATAGATCATCGGATAGGACAGGTAAAGCTCAGGCCTCTGTCGCTGAACCAGCACCCAACAATTTAGCCGCGATGTGATTGCGATTGCGCATGGTACACATGCATTGTGTTTTCTGGCCATGATTATTAATTTTGAGCATCGCTGGCTTCAAGTGAAGGTCCTTGGTTCGAGTCCAGATGGTGACCGGTAATTTTTTCTTCAGACTTTCTCCCTTTTCAACGCCTTCCTCTGATGAATAGAATTAGAAGTACTGTTTTCTCTTTTCTATATTGATTTCTAGCATGATTTGATTTCTAGCATGATTTGATTTCTAGCATGCATGGACACCAGATATGAATGGTATGTATTTTGTTGTACTGATGGCCACTTGAAAGTACAAAAAAACGCAATTTTCCGAACTTTGAGGCTCCATAAGCACAAAAACGTGAATAAGCATCCCCGCATCTCAAAGCATAATTGTTATGAAGATTTTGTGAGCATAAGGCGAGCATCCACGAAAGCATAATTCCGTGATTCCGCGAGCATAACCCGCCAGAGCCAAACAACTTAGTAACAAGCACTGTCGATTGCCCGCTTTCTGATGGGCAAGCAAACTAGTTCGGAATTTATCATCTCAGATACATCCGGACAGCTTTTCGGGGCTAACGCGGCTTGCACAGCGCGACGTGGACAGCAGGCTTCGTGTTTTCTGAATGAAATACTGGCAAATTTCCAGTTACAAAATCCGTTGGTGACGGAAGCTGGATCACCACGCTTCTAAAGGACCTGATTGCTCCTGGTAGCCGCCATGTAGGTGGAACAAAACACCGTGTCATCGGACTCCTCGTACGAAAGCCAAGGCCATGTCGTGAAGTACATGTATGTCCCCTGGCGAGAGCGTTCGACTATTTTCGTTTCCCCAAATTTACGCGTAAGAGGAAGGATCACGTATGGGACAAGTGAATGGACTGTGCAGGTACCGAAAAAAACAAAAGTGAGTTCTGGTCGCAAAAGTTGGTCCGGCCATGGCCGGACCAGCCGGAAGGGCTGCGCCGCCCCTGACTTGTATATAAGTAAAGTGGATGTAGGTTGTGTACTTAGTAAAAAAATAAAAAAATAAAAAAATGTGTGTATATCCAGGCTAACGGTACGTGTTTAGTAGTCTAGATACAGTGCAACGAGTGTTAGTTTCCAAGATCTTTACAAGACTGGCGAACACTAAATGTCATGAAGAAAGTGAAGAGAAAGGAAGTTTATATAGGAAAGAGATTGTGATAGAAGACTGTGCAATGAAGTTTGTTGTTTTGTTAGATATCTGACGTGCGCTGTTTGGAAGAAGTGTTTGGATGCAAACAGAACTTACAAGAGATGAGTAAAGACTACTTTTCTACAATAGCGTTGTAGGCGAGGAGTGCGTAACATCAAAAGATGTCGTAATGTGTATTGGAACTATGCTAGCCAAACATTACGTAATTATTATGGTAGCGAAGTACGTGTAGTAGGTATTACAATGTGTGCGAGAGTATGGTGAATCAGTGTTTGTGATGATGAGGAAAATATGACGTGTACATGCAAACAAATGATGATATCATGATGCGAGGACGTCAGAGACGCTACAGAGCTCCCCTCCTAGTGAATGAGTAATGAGCGATAACTAGCGCGATAAAGTGAGAGCAAGCAAATGGGATAAGCGAGAGAGTGTCAGAAATAGGCGGGAAATCTGACTTGACGACCAGCTCGTGTTTGGCGTGGCGGAGGCACGTCGAATGCGAGCGATGGCGTCGGCTTGGTCGGATGGCAATGGTCGACAGACTGGTTGTCATGGAATGCTGGTTTGAGTCGATCGATGGATACTGTGTCGGAGCGGCCGTTGAGGTCGAGGCGGAAGTACTTATCATGACGTTCCAGGACTCGGTGTGGACCAGTGTAAGGACGTTGGAGGGGCGTTCGTGTTGCATCTGTGCGAATGAAGACATGAGAGCATGTCGAGAGGTCAGCTGGAATGAACGGATGCTGGGTGGGTGGCTTGCGGGGTTGTGTAGGGCGGAGCTCGGACATGGCTTGTTTGAGGCGGCTGACATAGGACGTCGGATCCGGAAATGGCTCAGGCTCGTCAGTGAGGAAATCACTTGGCAGGCGGAGGTGGCAACCGTAGACCATTTCTGCAACTGAGCAGTTGAGGTCAGCCTTCAGGGAGGAGCGAATGCCGAGCAGGACTAGTGGCATATGTTCCGTCCAGCGCTGTGGATTGTCGGAAGCTCGGAGTGCAGCTTTCAGTTGTCTGTGAAAGCGCTCTACCATGCCGTTGGCAGCAGGGTGGTAAGCCGTTGTACGAATGCGAGATGTGCCAAGTAGTGACATGAGCGATGACCACAGGGATGACTCAAATTGGGCACCTCGGTCGGTTGTGAGCACAGTGGGAACACCAAATCGGGCGACCCAGGTGGCAACAAACTGGCGAGCGACGGTTTCGGCTGTAATGTCGGGGATAGGTACTGCTTCGGGCCAGCGAGTAAAGCGATCTACCATTGTCAAGAGGTAGCGAGACTCACTAGAAGATGGAAGCGGGCCTACGATGTCGACATGGACATGGGAGAAACGGGCATCAGGTTGCTTGAATGCACTCACGGGAGATGTGGTGTGGCGCTGAACTTTAGACTGCTGACAAGCGTGGCAGGAACGACACCACTCACTAATATCCTTGTTCATCGCGGGCCAGACGTAGCGAGCTGTAATCAGGTGCCTGGTAGCGCGGGTACCAGGGTGGGAGAGGCCGTGAAGCGAATTGAAAACAGCACGGCGCAGCTTGGCAGGTACATACGGGCGGG